ATTCCTCGGAATGAAATATATTTTGACCGTTAAATATTAACGAAACAGGAATGGTGTTCTTGCGTTTGCTGAATACTGTGTAATGTGTCTTATTAGTTGAAAAGAGGAAGCCTTCTCTTTTCGTTTTGGAAGACCATTCTTTGATTTTGTATAGAAGATTCTGTAGTATTTTAACCCCAGATGTAATATTTTTGCATTTAATATAGACAATTAAATCATCAGCGTCCAAGTTTGCTTTAATAGTAGGCTTAATTGTATTTATTACATCGTTAAATTCAATTAAAAATAAAGTTGGGCTTAAAATAGAACCTTGTGGAACACTGTTGTCGAGTATTCTAGTGGTAGAGGTGTATCTATTTACTCTTACTTGTATTTCCCTTTTATTCAGAAAGTTTTTTATAAACGCAAGCATATGTCCTTGAACTCCCCATTTATCAAGTTTATTTAATTTGAAGGTATCTCCATGTGGTGTCAAAAGCTTTATTCACAATAAAAAAGACTACTATAACTGAATAAAGTTTTTATTTCTGAGCCTTCAGAAGTATTGTAACGATTCCTTGTTTAAAAATATTTATTCTGACTTTAACACTTTTATTATAATAATTTTATAAAAACTTAAAATTAACAAAACCAAAAAAGAATGTCTTATTTCTGCTTGACAGCGTGGTGTCGTTGTCTCAGTGTTCGATGCATGCACCCTGTGGCCGTGCAGGGACGGCTCTTGCACTGTTGACTGCTGAACATGCCGCCCCCCTTGAAAGGCTTAAGTGATGCCTTTCAAACAACGCTTCTTGTAAACCATAACCATTATTGTTCATCCTATTGGCAGGACGGCTTTACACAAGGCCTTTTGAATTCACCTTTAGAAGTACGCACAGTCACAACCCGCACAACATTATCTGTCCCAGCATGTAGTTGCAATATTCTACCCAACTCCCATTTAGTAGCAGGAAGACCATCCTCTTGAATAATAACTAATGATCCAATTTTCACGTTGCCAGCTGCTGTTCTCCATTTGGTTCGCTACTGAAGTGAAGAGAGGTACTCACGTGACCTGCGTACCCAAAAACTCTGAATTATCTGAGTCAGGTGATGATACAGTTTCAACTTATTCGGATTTATTTCAGTTAGCTCTTCTTGTGGCAGTGCTACAAGTCGTGCTCCAATTAGAAAATGTCCAGGGTGAGTACACCAAGGTCTTCTGGACTTTCCGACAGAGGTAATAAAGGACGGGAATTTAGGAGAGACTCAATTTGCGTCAACAAAGTATACATTTCGTCATATGTAAATTTATTATTACACATTACCCTTCGTATATGAAACTTTATCGATTTTACAGTTGATTCCCAGATGCCACCAAAATGTGGTCAGTGAGCTGGAATAAAATGCCAATGAATCTTATGTTCCGAAAAATAATCTAAAAAATTTGATTTTACCGTTGCATCATTCATAAATGAATATAACTCCTGCAAATGATTATTTGCCCCAACGAAGTTAGTTCCATTATCAGAATACATATTTTTACATAGACCTCTTCTAGCAATGAAACGTTTAAATGAATTTAAGAATAAATTAGTACTTAAATCATATACAATCATATACGCGTGGTGTCGTTGTCTCTAGTGTTCGATGCATGCGCCCTGTGGCCCGTGCAGGGACGGCTCTTGCACTGTTGACTGTTGAACAATAACTTTCTGATCTAGTAAGAATGCATCATGAATGGTTGACTAAGTTGTCGTTAGCAGATCTTCCTCGTCGAAAACCACTTTGGACTGTGGTTAGGAGATTTTTATTTTCTACATCTGTAATTTAAAATCTTCTCGAGAGGTTTACACATGCTACAGGTGAAAGAAATAGGACGGTAAGATGTAGGACAATCTTTTGGATTGTGTTGTTTATAAATTGGGATTATAATAGCTTTGGTCCAAGTATCAGGAAAGTAATGGGGGACCTATGGATGTGGTTTTTTAAGTTTAGAGAAAAATCTAATTCTTGCAAAGTAATGGGTACATTTATAGGAGAGATCTGGTTAAGAATTTTGATGTCTACAGATTCTGTGGTAATCTTGTGTGTAGAAAAGATCGGATCTAGTACAGAATCGCTAAAGTTTTTTTGAAATACGTCTACTAGAATTTCAGGAATTTCGTTTCTACAAGAGATGATTTGGTTGTTATATGAAAGTACATTTATTGAGTAAGGTAAACTTTTATTTTATTTATTTTGTTCCAGATTATATTTGCTGGGGTAGATGTGTTAATACTTCTAACGTATTTAATCTAGGTCTCCTTCTTACTCTTTTTTATTCAGAATCGCGTACTGCTGTCAATCTCTTAAATTTTATTAGGTTTTCCTCTGTTTTGTGTCTCTTAAGAATGTTAAAGGCGTGCTTGCTAGCAGCTCAGGCCCAAGAGATTTCTTGATTCTACCAAGGTACCGGTTATATTTTACACGGTTTAGTTTTTTCCTATAGATGTAGATTCACAATTTAAGATAATGTTGTTAAAGTCCGTGACGGTTTTGTGAATGTCGTTTATCTCATAATTTTACGCTTCCATCTTCTTCTTCTTCTTCGTCTAGCCATTCACGTCCACATCTGAACATAAGCCTCTTCAAGTCTTCCTTTCCATTGTTACGCTTCCATACCATATAATAATCTCGCCTTCCAAGTGTTTTTGAAAAAGTTCCCAGTTTGCTGATTTTATTTTGTATCTTTGATATGCATTCAGATTAACAGGTTGGTTTGTCTCACTTGAGATAAGTAAGAGGAAGTGGTCACTGCCGTGCAGAGTTTTGCTGTGTTCCATTGAAATATGTGTGCTAGTGATGGGCTACACACGGTCAGGTCAATTGCAGAGAACGATCCGTTATATGAATTAAATCGTGTTGACTTAAACGGTACCTAAAAAAATGAAAAAGGAAGAAATTTGTTGTACACAGAACAACTCCTTACGTATTATAAAATAGATGGACAAACGGCCAGTTCTGATGTTAAGCACTGATCCAACCCATACAACTACTTTAGAACCAACAGGCAAGAGAAACTGGCAACGTGAGTTTGTATTGAAACTAAAGGCAATTATTTATTACAATCAAGTAAAAAAAGGAGTAGACTTTAGTGATCAGATGAGTTCTTATCATTCCGTTTTAACAAAAAGTTTTAAATGGTACCGTAAATTAGCCTTTTAATTTTTGCTTGGAACAACTATTGTAAATGCCTGGATTGTTTATAACAAGATTAGTTGTTCCACTAAATTATCTATAATGGAATTTAGAAGACGATTGGCGCAGAGTTACTTGTTACTAACAGCTGCACACGAAAACACCACTACTCCCAAAAGAGATTCCACATTACTTTTGTTAAACCGTCAGGATCTTAGAAAGAAAAGAAGAAGGACAATGCCAAGGATGCTATCATAAATTAAGAGAAATACATTCAAGCAAACAGGCAAGTAATATGGTGACAAAAGTAACAAATTACTGTAATGAATGTCCTGGACAACCAGGAATGTGTTTATCTTGCTTTAATAGCATTCATAAAAAATAATCTATTTTTTCTTCAAACGTCAAATAATGATGGCATTACTTATCTAACTTGATCCTGTCAAAGTTTGATGTCTCCGCCGGCAGCAGTTTTTTTTTCATTTCTTACAGCGGCGGAGGGAAAAATGTTGTCATGGCGACAATATGAAACATGTCACAAAGCAACAATACAAATGTCATTAACAACAATTAAACATCATTTTTATTTATAATAATATTAAAAGTACAATTAGTTAATGAGGCATTTTCAAAATTGAAACCGTGCAAAAATGTTCCCGACTCTTGATTCTTCTTCTTCTTCTTCACGTGCCATCTCCGCTACGAAGGTTGGCTATCATCATGGCAATTTTGACCCTGGAGGCTGCCGCTCGGAACAATTGTATGGAAGTGCAAGCAAACCACTCCCTGAGGTTTCTCAACCACGACATTCTTCTCCTACCTATGCTGCGCCTACCTTCAATCTTTCCTTGCATAATTAGTTGTAACAGTTGATATTTATTCCCACGTGTAATATGTCCCAGGTATCTTGATACGCATTGGTAATTGTTGATGATACTGATGGTCGAGAACAACTTTCAGCAATCATTCCCGATGTTGGTGGCTTGCGAACAACAATAAGCTGTCTTTAATAATTGCAAACAACTGTCAAACAACTGTAACCAGGGAGACACAAATCTCACCGACGACTTAATTATTTTAATTTCTAACATCTGAACTACTTTGATAGTTCTCACAGTTAATTTCGAGTAAAAATAGCGTATGAATTGTACTATTTATGGTTGAAAATTGCTACGTTTGAAGAAAAAATAGTAAACTTTATTCGGCAAAGAAGCGACTTTTCTTGACTTGCCCTCTATTACCCGTACTAGCAGAGTAATATCGGGCGCGTCAAGAAAAGTCATGCTTCTCCGCCTCATAAAGTAATATAGTATTTCTGTAACTTGATTGCTTTTTTTTTAATAACTACGAAAAAATCTTTTTTTTTTCTGGTTTTTGTTTTTTGTTTAATAACTAAGAATATAAATAATATTTAGTTTACATGTTTTTTTGTTTTCATATATCATTTACATTAATAAAATATTAAGAAGTTTTGATCTTTTAATCTAAATCTGTAAAAAATAGTCAGCTGTCTTGATACTTTAAAATATTCTTAACAGGAAACGAATGACAATGAGTTTTAAAATGTTTTTACTATTAATAACTGCTCTTAAAACTCGTATAGTTTATATTATAAAACTGTAAAAATTTAAAAACTAATTACGTCACTACTGGTCCCCGACGGTCGGTAACGCACTGTTCCTTGATTGGACCATGATTGATTTTGGGGAACTCAGTCAACCTGTTAATCTTGTTTTGTCCCTCTTCTATTCTATTACGACTTGAAAATTAAAATGTACGTGTTTAAAATAAATACAAGTGTAAAGTAATAATAATTGGTAAGAAAATAAAAGGCATTTGTTGCTTGAATAATTGTTTTATAAATATAATTGTGATATATTGTTAATTTTGTAATTTTAAATTATCTAGGTTCAATCCACACTTTGGGTCCATCTTTCAGTCTCAAGACAAGGTTCGTTGTGACTTTAATCTCTTCAACGCTTTTATATTCCGTAAAGATTTTATATCTTCTCAAAACGGTAGCCAAAATTGTTTTTATATTCATCATGCCGTATTTTCCACCTAAAAAAAATTATTTAATTAGATTTAAAATAAATAATAATTAAACTTTGAGGGTATACAAGGCAACTATCGAACACGGTGATTAATTTAATCTTGCCCAAGTACTTTCGATCAATAGATCATCTTCAGGGCATTTCGTCAGTTGTGGCCTATCCGACATGAGTAGAATGTCATAAAAGTAAAATCTGGACATAACAATACAAAATACAATACACAAAGACAAACAGACACTTTAAAATTTTAAGGAGAAGCTACATGTTGTATAGAAGACGGAGACAGAATCATATCATAATTAAAGGATCATTAAATCAATCATCATTAATTATTTCATAATCAAATAATAATTAAAGGATCTTTTCTTAAGTTATATTTGTCAAAGTAGATAGACATGGTTCAAGTCAAAAATCAGATACATTATAATTTAAGATGAATAAGAACATACATATTAACTTTTAATAGTGTCGTAATCTTTTGGATGTTCACAGAATCACAACATATAATTACATTTACAGATATGATCAAACAGAAATAGATTAAATCAAAGAACGGAAGATAAAGAGGTCTTAAATACAGTTAAAGTCAGAAAACTGCAATATCTTAGACATGTTATGAGAGGCGAGCGTTATAACTTGTTGCAATTAATAATGCAAGGAAGAATACAGGGTAGAAGGAGTCGCGCAAGAAGACGCATCTCCTGGTTGAATAATTTGAGAGCTTGGTTTAACTGAACTTCTGTTGACTTCTTTAGAGCAGCGGCGTCGAAAGTGCGAATTGCCTTGACGGTTGTCAACCTTCTTAGAGGAGATGGCACGTGAAGAAGAAGAAGAAGAAAAGAACGGAAAAAGAAAAGTATTTTGTAAGTGTGTAAGAAATCATTACTAGATGAGCCATTTCAGCGTACAAAACCATCTTCAGAGCTATGGTCAAGTGTTTAAAGTATTATTCCTAGGGAAGATCTCATTTGGTAAAAAATACAGAAATTTTCTCTTTAAGCTGCTATCACAAATTTTTCATTAAAAAAACACAAAAAAGGCTATATACTGGACTCCACAAAAAACTTAAAAATCATTTAAAAAGTTTGGTTATGATGCTCAGAACCCGACCTTTTCTTGGAGTAGAAGCAGCAGATAGAATAGATAGATTATATCTGCTGCCTCAACTACAACAAATGGTCGGATTCTGACATCCGTATCATAACCAATTTTTTTATGTCGTTATTTGTGGAGTCCAATGTGTTATCTTAGTTTTCTCCTCAATTACTTGCAGCCCATATTTTTTGAGGCATTTGACAAAGTGGTGTACATTTCTTCTAGCTTGCGTGTTTTGCGGGCAACTAGGTCAAAATCATTTGCATATGCCAAAATTTGGTATGATTTATTAAAAATATTTCTTCTGTTGTCCATTTGGACATCCATGACCGCCTTTTCCAGAGCTATGTTGAAAAGAAGACACGCCTGCGCATCTCCCTGTCGCAGCCCAATATGGGTTTAAAATGTCTGTAATTGTTCGTCTGTAATTGTTTTATTGCATCCCGTACTTCTTGAATTGATGAAGGCTTCAATGGAGTATTGTTGGTTGCTTCTGGGGTGGTTATTATTTGGATCTTCTACTTCGATAGTAAGTAGTTCTTTATAGCGATCAATCCACCCTTTTAATACTTCTTTTGTATTGAGTATATGCCCTCCTTGTCCTTACATAGTCTTATCCTTGGTTTATATTCTTTCCTTGCATTATTTAGATTTTTATAGAATTTTCTTGTTTGATTTTCCTTTTTTAATGCCTCAAGTTCTTCCAATATTCTAGTTTCATAAGTTTGCTTTTTTCTCCGATGGATGTACTTCTCTTCTGAGATCTTTATATTTTTGTTTTTTTTCTCAGGTTCTTCTTTGCTGTATCAGTTTATATGAATTGTTCTTTCTTCTTGTAATGTCCTCACACTCAGCATCGAAGCACTCATTGCGTGGTGGTGGTCTTTGCGGTCCTAGAATGGTATTTGCTGCGTCTTTAATATAATTTTTACACATTTTCCATTGTTCACTAATTGTTAGATTCTCTTTAGTTATGTATTTAGTTTCGATATAGTTTTAAAACCTTTCTACCGTTTGCGAATTTTTGAGTTCAATATTAAGACGCCTTGTTTTGGTACTTCTCTTCTTCTTCGCATGTGAGATTCTAGCCCGAATTCTTGTGTCAACTAAAAAATGATCTGAATCAATATTGGCGCATCGATAGGTTCGGGCATCCATAAGGTTAGAGGAGTGTCCAGCATCTACGATCACATGATCAATTTGGTTGTTCGTTAATCCATCAGGCGAGGTCCAGGTCCCCATATGTATTTTTTTGTGTAGAAAACATGTGCTTCCTACGATCATGTTCTTTGAGGCTGCAAAGGTGACTGCTCGGTGTCCATTCGAATTAATATTATTATGAAGACTATATTTACCAACGTGCGGTAGATATATTTCTTCCCTTCCGATTTTTGCATCAGATCACCGATTACTATTTTAATGTCATTTCTGGGACAATTGTCATATGTTCTTTCTAATTCATCATAGAAATTGTCTAAACATGTCATTGTCTGTCCCTCTGTCGGGACGTACATTAATAAGGCTAATATTAAAAAACTTGCCCCTGATCCTTAAGCAGCTCATTAACGGATTTATTGGCTTAAAATCTATAACCAAGTGCTTGACTTTATTATTGACTATACAGGCTGTTCCAAATTCATGGTCAGGTTCTATGGCAACTATAGTATATATTGTAGTTTGCTTTTTGGATTATGCCATGGCCTGTCCATTGTACTTCTTGTATTGCAGTAATATCAACAATATATTATGCTAATATGTCACACAGTTTGCGGATGTTTCCAGGTTCGTTAAGTGTGCGAACTTTCCAGTTAAATACACTAAGATCAATACAGTAGTCTCTCTTTATACCGATTCCCTATATAACGATAGTTCCTCTATAACGATGGAAATAGTAAACGTTGGTTGATTCGTCATAAGCACAATGTATTAATTCTTTCTCTATACCGATATCGTTCTCTCTTTTATAGCGATGATTATCAGCGTTCAATGTTCGATGAAAATGTGATATTTTGATTAAAGTTCAGACTACCTGAGTCACGAGTGGCAAGGTCATGTCCAGCGGTTGTTTTGTTTTGCGAGTTGTGTCTCAGTGTGGTCAACAGTCATATGTTTTCGAAAAAGCCTAAAGAGCTCTCGGTGGAGGAAAAGTTATCGATAGCTCGAGCAATAGAAAAAGATAAAAAGCAATTTGATGTCGTTCGCCGTACGGGGCTATCTCAGTCAATTGTGGCTCAGATATGAAAGGACAGAAAAAAGTGGCTTGATAGCGGAGATATGAACGGAGGCTTGAACTATATTCCACTTTTTGGCTTGTGGTCAGGGCAAAAGTTGAGTTCTTTGCAACTGAGCCTGGAATTGAGAAGTTCAAGGCATCTGAGGGTTGGCTGAGCAAGTGTAATTTTCGGCACAAGATCTTCAACTACGGGCAAATCAGCGGAGAGGCTCGCGATGTTAACAAAAATGTAACGGATGATTGGCTAGAAAACAAAACATATGGCCTGGACTAAAGACACGATATTATGAGAGTATATATGAGTGCGTGGATTTTGAAGAAGCGATAATAAAGTGGGATATCAAGCTTAAAGGAAAAAAATTCTTCTGCTTGTAGACAATTGTCCTGCTCATCCTGTACTATGCGACTTTCAAAACATTGAACTTTGTTTTCTGCCAGCAAACACGAGTGTCCTTCAGCCCATGGACCAAAGTGTCATCAAGAGTTTGAAAAGTCATTATAGGAGAAGACTTTTGATGGAATTGGTTGAGGACAATGGCAATCTTAAACAAAACATTCTTGACGCCATCCTAATGATTAGTAAATCTTGGGACAAGGTGACCAGCAATACAATAAAACATTCCTTCAATCACGCAGCATGGCTGTAAGATCAAGGATTGACTGATGATGAAGATGACCTGCCATTAGATGTTTGGGCCAGACAGTTTTAAACTTACTACCTCACTACAGCGCTAAGCTATATAGCTAAGAACAGATTTTGAACAATTTGATGAAAATGTAGCTACAACATCTGGACTTTTCTGACGAGGACATACTACAAGCAGTTCATGTAGAACAAGAAGAAAACAGAATTATTTTATGAATGACATGAATTTCCAGACATGATAAATAAGCAGGCATTGGATGCGTCAAAAGCACTGCATCGATTCTTCATCCATCAGAAAGACGATATGAGTACTGTGGAAGATTCTGTTGTCCTCAAGACATGGTCAGGTCAGTTCTGTGGAAAGAGAAAAATAAACAGACCAAGGTGACAGACTTTTTTCGTAATGTAGGCTAAATATATTTTATAGTAGCATATTATTTTGTTATTGTACAGTACACATTTTTTAATTGTACAGTTATTTTTTTATACTGTATTGCTTATATTATTCTTTAATAAATCTATGTGGTGAACAATACAGTGTTAATTTATTTATATTCGTTTTGATACATTTTTTAAATTAAAATAGGTTATTTAGGACAGTACTATTAATATTACAGTACCGAATTTTGTCTCTCTCTGTATAACGATCTCTCCTTATAACGATGAAAATTCCCGGTCCCTTGCATATCGTTATAGAGAGAAAGGAATGTATTTCCATTATTCAGGTCCTTATTTCGTTGCATAGGTCGTCGTCGAGATTTCCGTCCGGCATTTTTGACTTTCGTAACTATGCGGTTTTACCGGCTTGGGTAGTTAACCTAACGCCAAACCCCCATTTTAAACCCCCTTTAAAGTTTTTTAATGGTTACCATCTAAAAACCACATTGCTATGGTTTGTGTTCACTTTCTCATTATCAAGACCTAAACGGGAAATAAGTTTTGAGTATTAGCGAATTTCGGTAACCACATGATTTTTATTTATTTTAGCCTAATTAATCTTAATAAACTTGAAAGCGACAACATTTTTGAATGGAGAATGAAAAGACCTTTCAAACAATACATCACAAGTCTATTTTAAAAATTGGGGGTTATACCTGTCATTCTAAAGGGGTTGAAGGTAGGGGTTGCATTTTCATGTTAAAGAATGTCAAATTATAATTTAAATTTGACGTGTTTCGGGATTTTTTTATAAATCAGAGGTGGGCGCTATTCGTTTATTGGAAATCAAGTTTCAACGTCCCCTCCAATGGCTCGTATGCCAACTACACGCTAATGAACTGCCATCGCGTCACCTTTTTCAACATTAAGATGGCACTACAAGTGGACCAAAAGGTGTCAGAGGTCCCATTGGCAAGGCAGTTACTAACTGTGAAGTGTTACCAGTTGTTCCGTTTGATGCAGTTACATGTACGTTACGCGATATTACCAAATCGACACAAGAGTTAAGCACCGATGAACTGTATCTACTACAAATATGTTAGTATATCAATAGTGGACATATTATTGACCCAGTCATACAGAGAAATGCATTCTTTGGACATTCAGAGAATTTACTACTAGGAATGTTAGAGAACTTGCACTCCGCAGAATATTGAAGATCAGAGAGACATTAAACATCGGAACCTTGCGTATTTTTCAAGTACCTACTTTAAATTTGGATGCTCATAATTATATCGATATGATAGATTGGAAAACCAAGACAGAACCTCCACTAACGAAGAGTATCAGTACCGAAATAATATCTCATTTCTTATCAACTTATCAAATCTATTTCTTTGTCTGGTATGGAGCCTAGTCAAATTTCTAAAATGTCTTGTGACCGAACAAAATGCAGTGCAATAATCAATAACGTTTTAGGAAAGACCAGTTTTGAACACCTTATTTCTCAGCTAAAACTTAAAAAAATTTCATTGATGATTGATGAATCCACAGACATTTTCTCAGATAAACCTTTAGCTTTAGTAGTTTGATACAATAACAATTTCCAGATAAAAGATGAATTTTTAGGGCTCATGTTAGTTGAGACAGCCACTGCGCAAAATTTTTATAATATTATAATAGCCTATTTTAAAGAAAATTATATTTCCTATAAAAATAATTTAGTAGGATTTGCTGCCGATGGAGCAAATGCGATGATGGGGGCGCATAATTCGCTGAAAACTCTTTTAGTTAATGCCGTTCCTGATCTATACGTAATGAAATGCATTTGCCACTCTTTAGCGCTGTGTGCTTCTTATGCGTGTGAAATCTATCAAATGATACCGAGAAGCTAGTTAGAAATATTTATTCATATATGCATCATAGTTTTAAGGGGCAATCAGAATTCAAAAAATTTCAAACTTTTCTTAACATTAAACCCCACAAGCTGCTCAGACTAGATGGTTGTCGTTGTTTGCTGCTGTTTCTAGAATCCTTGAACAATATGATGTTCTTCAGCATTATTTTAGAATCGAAGCCTTTTATCAAGTATCAGGGGCAAATGAAATTAATAATATGCTAAACAATCCATTAAATAAAATCTATCTTCTTTTTCTTGAATACATATTACCAAATTTTGCAAATCTAAATTTAGAATTTCAAGCTGAAACTCCAAAAATGTACAATCTCTACCCCCGAATGTTTAGTGCCTGTAAATTTTTATTAAGTTGTTTTATAAAACCAGATTATCTAAAAAATACAGATTTAGAAAATATCCAGTACCGCGACCCACAAAATTTTCTTCCGCTTAATGAAATTTACTTAGGTCCTAAAGTAGCTGCAGAATTGACCAATCACCACTTAACTGAATATATAAAAAATAATGTTAAAACAAAATGTCTGGATTTTTATATTGAAGCAGTAAATCAGATTCATAAACGGTTTCCTTTCAATTCTCATGAAATAAAAATTCTTCAGTTACTGACCGTATTGAGTCCGCAAAATATTCAAAAAACAGAAAGTATCAGTCCCTAGGCTTAATGTTTCCAAATTTGGTTAACGACATTAATACTTTAGATAGAGAGTTTAGAGAATTAAAATATTCAAATTTTGATTTCTCCTTAAATGAAAATGAATTTTTTAAAGAAGTAAAAAGGGTGACAATAGTCTTATCTTTCCAGAACTTACAAATTTTGTAAATATCTTATTTACATTACCACACAGTAGTGCAAATTTGAACAAAACAAAACTGCGAAATAAATTAGGCTCAAACACAATAAGTGGCATTTTGCATACCAAAAGACTAATTTCCCTAAATGATAACAACTGTTTTAACTTTTCTATAACTACAGATATCATTAACAAGCATAATAATAATGTATAAATAAATTTTTCCGATTTAAGAACTTCTTAATTTTTCTTATGTAGACATCTTATTGTTAGTTACTATTTTTTTAGTTTGTCTAATTAAAACATTGTATTTGACTTTATTCTAATTGTTGTATTTTGTAATTAAAACATTGTATGAAGCTTTATTCTTATTGTTGTATTATCTGGTGATTTTTTGCAAAATCTGGCAACTTTTGAAGCAAGTGTCTGGTGATTTTTAGTTTTTTGGCCTGGCAACGCTGACCTCAAAAGCGGCGCTCGTAGAGCGTCAAGAGACCCCAGAGAACCTGGAGGACGCTACGGCTGTTGGTACGACAATAACAAGGAATACGAGATTAAAAATAATAGTTTAAAACTATTTTCTTCTACAACTATGCCAGAATATATTATCTTACCTATGCAATTCCTTGGTCCATAAGAAAACGGTATATATGCGCACGGGTGTCTTTTCGCAGTATTTTCGGGTAAAAACCGATCTGGATCAAATTTAAGTGGATCAGGCCAGTAGGCAGGATTTCTGTGAAGAAATACGATACCAATAATGACCGAGCTTTCTCTTGGAAATACCATATCACCTAAAACAATTAGATATTAATTACAAATATATGTTTAGTGTTTTAAAAGTAATAAAAGTAAAAACTCTAAAAAACGGTGGTACTGTAGGCACATAGTAGGCTAGCGCGAAGCTTTATAAGATGTTGTTTGTATTTTTTAAAATTTTAATCATATTTTTGAAATTAAATAAAGTAATTTTCTTATTTAATAGGCAAGGTTAGTAAAAGGGAGGTTGCATGGTAACTCTGACATTTGACAGAATGAAATATAACGTGTGACGTCATCCAGGGGTCTTTCGAATGTTGAAAACAACATAGGAGAAGTGGTTGTGGAGGATATATTTTGTTGTTAAATATCGTTAGTGCTTTAGTTTATGTTAATATCTTGAGATATAATGTGTCTATAGATATTATTGAGTGATTATTAGTTACGCTTGGACCCAAAACTCTTATACAAGTGTTAAGATACATTTTAAGGTGGTTGTGTCTTACTGGATTTTATTTCTAAAGGTAACATTGGAATTAATGCTGGAAAAACATAACTTAATTCAATTTTTTTATTGATTCAGATGACTGGTGGAAATATTTGTAGTGTAGCAATCTACACAATAATTCAAAAAATTTCGAAAATGTATGGAAGGAATTTAATGTTTTTTACATTTCCAAAAAATGTAAAAATTCAAAAACAATGGATGAGCAAGTGTCACAGGAAGGATAAGTGGTCCATGTTTAAATAAAATAATTTGTAGTATACACTTTCGCATGGACGATTATGAGATGCTTTAAAAGCTAAACTATTAAACAAACAACCTAAAAAGCTGAAAAAAGATGGTAAGTGGGTATAGTCATTTAAATGTTTAGTAAAAAAGTTTAGTTTTTAGAAAAGCTTAGTCTGAATCCTATTAAAAATCATTTGTATTTAAATGGCGTGGTTAAGTTTTCGGACCAGGTAGAGATTAATAAATTTTAATCTATTGTACTTTTATTTATTATATCTGCCACTCAGTTTGTTCATGTCTCGAAATTTATCGATAACACTCCAATACAAATGACTAATAGGATTAAGATTAAGCTTTTCTAAAATTAAATGGTACCCACGTAAGTCTCAATAGACTTTTCAGGTAGGGACACAAAAATGTATCTCCGCTACTTTATCTATAGTGTATTTTCATGTATGAGAGAGTAATAAAACAATAAATTATGTATGCAAATCCCTAAACTGTTGATACGGGTGACTCAATGAAAAACATATATTTGTCAACAAGTTTACAGAAGTATATAGGAAAACAATTTTAAATTGAGTATGACCACCAGGTATAAAGGTTGGAGCAGAATAGAATACAACAGTTGTGAGGGTTACTAATCCCTAAATAAGGTTGCCAGTGTCGGAGTGATGGAGGTTAACAGGTACTAATGAATTTGCAAGAAATGTAAGATGTTTATTTTATTGGTTATATATAACCAATAAAAGTTTAATAAGTACCTTACCTATTTGCAAAATAAAGTTTAATTCTTTAGATAAAATAAAACATTTTATTTTATCTGAAATGAGTGCATTCCACGAAGTAAGAGTTTTCAACAATCAAACATTTAATTCTTTAATTCCAGGAATCTACGACAGTAATTAACTAGATAATTACCTTCTAAACTTATTCCACAGAAAATGTGATAGTGGGTTTTTCCATTTTGTAGGAAGGTCCAAGTGGCGTATTCAAATTCTTAACAGTTCACTAAAAGTAGGTACTTCTAGTTGCAAGGTGCAGTTTATTGTGTATACTAGTGTTATGGAAAATTTGGAAATGCCTTTCAAGAATGGTTCGAACAAATGATAGATCTTCTTCCTAAGAAACTATGTAATAGTAATGGATAATGCAAGTTATCACTCCAGACTTATAGAAGGACTGCCCACAACCAAGTGGTTAAAAAAAAGACTTGCAGAATTGGCTGAGTTCAAAAAATATTACGTACCATCCCGGATCTATAAGAAAGGAACTTTATTCGTTGTGTGCCCTTCATAAAGAAAAATTTAAAAAATACGAAATTGATGAAATTGCCAAAAATCGTGGAATGACAGTACTTAGATCCCCACCATATCATTGTGAATTAAACCCGATTGAACTGGTATGGGCACAGATTAAGAGTGAAGTTTCAAGAAAAAAATACCACTTTTAAAATTCATTATGTTAAACAGTTGTTTTTGGAGGCCGTAAATAATGTAAAACCTGAAAACTGGGAAAAGGCAGTAAATCACACTATTAAAGAAGAGGAAAAAATGTGGAAGCTGGACAATATTACTGATAAAATGATCGAGCCAGTTATTATAAATCTTGGTTCTGAAAGTGTATCTTCTGAATCTGATTTGGATTTGTAACAAGTAGCTATAAGTTTTATATTAATATTTTTATTCATCTATTTAACATACCTTAGACGGTTTTAAAAACTCTTTTTCTCTTTTGTAATTTTTAAAAATTAAAAAAAATGTGAATTTTTTAAAACCCTTTTTTAATGTAGGCCAGTCAGTTCTAATATAGTGTGTGATAAAAGAGGTCACTTTTGTTTACATACACATAACACTTTATAACACTGAAATAATTCATTTATTTTTTACAATTATTCAAAGTAATTTTTTCTATTAATCTTGAGCACGCCCATGAAGTGGTCGTGATGGTACCAGTTAAAATTATGCTAATTACTCTCTCTCGTTCATAAAAATAAACTATAATTGTTGATATTTTGAGAACACAATTTATTTATTGTTGCGTATGATTGTATTACGGCAATGAAAACATTCCTAAGATTAATAATTCGGAATAAAAAAGTTGAGAATAAAGTACAGGTCATTACAAAATGCAAATCATCTTTTTAAAAACTCTCCTGAAAATATGCTCTCCTGAAAAGTAGTCATTTTTTAGATACATTTTTGTGTCACTAAGCCGACGATAGGAGAAGTGGTTTGGAGGATATATTTTGTTGTTAAATATCGTTAGTGCTTTAGTTTATGTTATTATCTTGAGATAGAATGTGTCTATAGATATTATTGAGTGATTATTAGTATACAACTTGGACCCAAAACTCTTATACAAGTGTTAAGATACATTTTAAGGTGGTTGTGTCTTACTGGATTTTATTTCTAAAGGTAACATTGGAATTAATGCTGGAAAAACATAACTTAATTCAATTTTTTTATTGATTCAGATGACTGGTGGAAATATTTGTAGTGTAGCAATCTGCACAAATAATTCAAAAAATTCCAAAAATGATGGAAGGAATTTAATGTTTTTTACATTTCCAAAAAATGTAAAAATTCAAAAACAATGGATGAGCAAGTGTCACAGGAAGGATAAGTGGTCCAGTTTAAATAAAATAATTTGTAGTATACACTTTCGCATGGACGATTATGAGGATGCTTTAAAAGCTAAACTATTAAACACACAACCTAAAAAGCTGAAAAAAGATGGTAAGTAGGTATAGTCATTTAAAATGTTTAGTAAAAATGTGTTAATTCACTGACTTTGAGTTATTTTTGTGATTGAGTTTTACAAAGTAAAGTAAAAAACAAACAAATATCATTAATATTAACTTCACATACTTAGTTGTAATTAAAACTTTTAATTTTAGCAATTCTCTCCTTATTTCTACTGCCAAATGAAGATGGTATACAAGAAATAAGTGTAAGATCAAAACGCATGTCCAGTAAAGATAACAAAGATATTGTTGAACATTTAATTTTACAGAATACTGAAGAGGAGCAGATAAAAGCAATAAAAACTCAGTTGAATCTCTTTTTCAGCATGGTTTACTTGTTTGGAGGAATTTATTATAATCCACTACATGCATTATCCTCAATTCAAAATAATTTAAAAAAAAGTAAATTGTATTCAACCCATTATTAATATAGTATATTAACATGTTTTAGTCACATGTATACACAAGAAAGAATCTACTTCCAATTTAATATAGTAATGCTATTCTACTACATATGTTTAACTGCAATAATATTTTATGATTTCTGTAACTCTGCAGGTACTTATCTCCCACATTTTTTTAAAGATTGAATGAAATAAATAGTTATTAAAAGTCCAAACGTATTTTTTTTAATATACATAGATTAATATATTTACAATCATTGCTGCTTTCCGAGTTCATTTCAAGGAGTAAAGTGAGTGAATTTGAATGTAGCATTCTCAGTGACGTCATTCCCGCCATTAGATTCTCGACGCTGATTGGTGTAAAGTTACCAGACAACCTGTCTATTTTTAATAACCTTGTTTAATAGGTATTTAGTTTTTAAACAAATTATATTATATTAAAGTAATTCAATAAATTATTGTGTAAAGCCACCTGCTAACGAATCAACAACGTATAAATTGTTTACTTTTGACGAACCCGTCAAAGTAAGATTCAATATTAGATTAATAATCAAATATAAAAAAATATTATTTAAGAGTAAATTTAAATATTACATAAACCAAATAAAGTTTGACTACAGTTTAAAAGGAATTAATTAAGTAAAAAATTATAAAGCATTTCAAAAATCAAAATAGATAATTATGGTTAGATTCGACATTTTGTATAACAGACTCTCCCTCTTTCCATAAATGGACTCTTAAAACGTCTTACGTTTACTTAAAATGTTTTACTAATAACTCTTATTGTCGTACTTTAATACAATAATCGAACTGATACTTGTAAACGTCATTGTATTTTGCTATAAAATTATTTTAAAACGATAAGTGTCATGAAAATTTAAACAGATGATTCAAGATTGTTATTTATTGGATGACACTTATGACTTCGAAATTTTGACCGTTCAACAATCATTTATTGATTATCGAACACTGAGCCTCATGAGTCATACTTTAAAAGTACTGCTGAAAGTAATACATAAGAGAATTTATGAAAGCTTAGAGGAGGACATTAGTGAGACGCAGTTCGGGTTTCGAAATGGAATGGGTACTCGAGAAGGACTAGTGGCCCTTAAGGTTGATTTGCACCCTCGATTAATTGTGTTTCTGATCCTA